GTAACTGATAAGGAAGTTGCGGAGAGTCATAATCGTCCACGTCCTGAAGAGACAGAGAATATAAGAGTACAAGAAGAAATCACAGTTGCCAGAAGGGCGCGAGGGTAGATATACTAAGGAAAACCTAATAAGCAACAATGGTTATCTCACTGTAGAATAGTTAGTTTCACAGAATGTTATTATGATAATGAATTTGATCCTCACTGGGTGTCTCACACTTGTGACGTTTTAAGAAAAATGAAAAAAAAAAACGGTATTGCATTTAAAATCAAGAAAAAGATAACTGAAATTTCTGGGACACATAATGAAGAAAGAAGGCTTGGAGAATTTGACACACACGGGACATACGGAAAAGAGAAGTAAAGGCAAACGGAATAACCTAAATTAAAGGAATGGCAGAGAAGGAATCAGGAGAAATGGTAAGTAAACAAAAGTTCTTATAGCTACAAAAAACAGGAAGATGCGGAGAGCTATGATTGCCTCCGCTCTGAATGGTCACAGCACATTAAAGAGAATATATAAATGCACATCGGTACGTTTTCACGTGCATCTATGTTGATATATAAAGATAGGCACACTTTGTATATAATTTAGGTAGGAAGGGGGGTTGAGATAATCTGCACACTGTGGTCGTTGTATTAAAAAGTAAATAAATACATTTAGGACGGCTAAGTGGTAAACATTGTATTTTTAGCGAGTGAACGCATTCCTGGTTGGTAATCACACACAAGTATTCCTTTGTCTGCAGGCTACGAAAATATTTGTTTCTATCGCCAAATCCCTACACGTGCAGATCTATCAGGTTTTGTGGGTCGTAACAAGCGACGAAACGATTGACAAAGAAATTTGAGTAGGGAAAGATGCTTTTTTGAAACTGAGCAATATATTCTCCTGTGTGCCGTGTCCCTTCAGGACGTAGGCGATCATGGCTCTCCACTTCCTCCTATCCCTTGTAGCTCCTTGTGTTTCGTTCTTGTGCCACCTCCATCAGACCACGTTCTATCTCGCCAGGTATGTCATATATTGCTTTCCCTTGTTTCTCTTTCCCTCTATTCGACCTGTGAGTATCAGATTCTCCAGGCCCTTCTTTCTCATTACGTGTCTTAGAAATTTCAGCTGCCTCTTCCCTTGTTTGCATCCTCTTCAAAACCTCATCGTTGCTCACTCGCTCGGTTCATGATATCCTCAGCATCCTTCTGTATAACCATACCTCCGTTGGCTCTTCATCTTTGAGGAGACCGTCCAACATTCGCTGCCGTAAAGGAGGACAGAGGACACGTAGCAGCTCAGTAGTCTTTTCTTTGTTACCAAAGAAATCCTCCTGCCTCGCAGTACTCTGCCCAGCTTTTAAAATGCATCCTTGGCTATTCCAATGCGTCTTAGGATCTCAACGTTGCACTTACCGTCATCCGTCAAAACCCTACCCAGATATTTAAACTTCCACACCTGATTGATTTTACTGTACCCAACCTGCAAATCTCATAAAACCTGTTGAAATATTATAATATCCAATATGGCATTGATATCTGAACAATATCGTCAAAATGGCGCTAAGATTGAAAACAACCTTAACAGGTCATAAATCTTTCAGTATTGCCGAAGAATATGGAGAGTAATGATTCATGTTTGAAAGCGTTTACGAAAGGGCAGAAAGTAATTGAATGGTGTAAAATAAATGCTTAAAACATCGTATCCTGAATAACAGTACCAGCAATATGTGCCGTCCTGGGTAAGACGATAAACTACGTCAAGCAGCAAGGTGGTTTTGAGGAGCGTGGAACCAACTCTTAATTACTGGTGTTCCCAGGTCTACCCTGACCCGGGGTGGTAGCACCTGTTAGGTTCACAGCTATGGGCAAATAGTTAATTACTACTAGCAATACATTTTTGAAAAAACATATTACCAGCAATACTTTTTGAAAAAAAAATATTACCAGCAATACATTTTTGAAGGAAAAATATTACTAGAAACAGATTTTTGACAAAACAAAATATTACCAGCAATAAAAAAAAAATTGTCGGCATTAAATAACCCATTGAGATTAATATGCCATAAAACAAACCAACCTAAACAAAACTTGTAATATGTTGATTTTTTTTTCTAAAAGAAAAAACTTTATCATTTTAAATTTCCTATTAGAGTTTCTTTCGTCTTAATTTCTCTTGTTTTTTCCAGAAGTAATACTAGTAGCAATATCCTGAAATTGAGATGAAGTATTGTCAAACATTACACAATTTTAAAATTTCTGTCATCTTCATTTCAATTGACTAGTAGTATTAGTAGTAGTAATATTATCTGGAATTTTGACTAGATGAACCATTGTCAAACATTATTCATTTTTTATTAAGATTTCTTTCATTTTCATTTCAATTGTTTTATTTCCACGCGTATATTTTCAACGATTATTCATTTTCGACATGTATAAATTCATTTGCTTTTCATGACAACTGCGAAGACTATCAGTCTACTGCTCATAGATTTTATCGTAAAACAACCCACCCCCCATCAACATGCCTGTTTTTCCGTAACCGATCCGTAAGAGATCTCTCAATCATTTGTGGAACATAACTTTAGTTAATGGCCATTAATCATTTGGGGAACATAACTTTAGTTAATGGGCATTTTCTTCTATGAATTTTAATTTTAAAATTCGTAGGATTTTTCAAACTGTTTAAGGTATCAGTTTGTAGAGGATATATATATATATATATATATATATATATATATATATATATATATATATATATATATATATATATATATATATGTAGACAAGCTTGTGTAGTGTTTATAATTTTCATGCTTAGAGCTACTTAAATGATTGTAGTATCCCAGCTCTACTTACGTATTAAGCACTCTACGTTTTAGCTTTATTACACGCTTGGGTTTTTCTTTGGGCTAAAAACTTAAGACACTGAACGATTTGTTACACCCTATTCGGATGTTTCTAGTACTTTCTTTTTTTTTCTCCAATTTTTCTTTCCTCGGATACCAATTTGTTTTGATACATGACGATTTGTGCTATCCGAGTTTTTTCCCAACCGATATTACTATTAGTATAATAATAATAATAATAATAATAATAATAATAATAATAATAATAATAATAATAATAAATTGTTCTGACAAGTACAGCCCACACTTTACGAAGGGCTTTATCTACGTAATTTTTTTTTTTTTTTTTTTTTTTGTCAGTGGAAAGTGTCATGATGCCATTTCTAACCTTAGGTCCTGGGCGGGACCCGGAAAGAAATGTGTAAACGCCAGAAATCAAAGGAAATAATAATAATAATAATAATAATAATAATAATAATAATAATAATAATAATAATAATAATAATAATAATATATGTATGTGTGTGTGTGTGTGTGTGTGTGTTTGCGCTATCGGTGAAGAGAGAAGTGTAAGGTAAAATGCTTGGTTTGATCTCCTGTCAGCCATAAAGTAGTCCAGTTATTATATATTAACTATAATTCCGTCCGACATTAGTTCAGAAATATTAGGCATACGAGACGTGAACACATTAGACATTAACATTAGCTTCTGCTACATAAAGCTCACAAATTATTTATTTAGCATATCTGAGTCTGGCACAAGGTCGCAGTTGTTATCGTTACTCTGTTTGCTTAGAACACAGAGAAGGAAAGCACTCACCCTAACTTAAGGGCCATTCTTTTTATCTAAAAAAGAAACCTCCGCCTTTCACCATTTTCTCTCACTATGTATTTCTCCTTCACCACACTCTATATTTAATCCGTTTTTTCCTACTAGAGGGCTATTCTTATCCGATTAAAATGGATTAACTGGTGGGGATTACCAGATGACGTCGAAAAATACCATACACCCAGACACACTGCATTTCTAAATATATATTCCCAGTCGGGGAGCCTGGGTGTGACAGGACTTCTTTTTTTTTTTTTTTTAAATGAGATCAATGACTCTTCTTTGATCGATAGCCGAGCCGAAGCAGTAATGGCAGAAGCGGTAATGTTGTTAACAGCATCATATTTAGGTTGACAATATTTTGGCCTTTAAAAAAGACATCGGATGACGAGAAACTTTACATATAAAATCTGCTATCGTAGATCAGAGTATCTGTGAGGAAAACATCGCCGATAGAAATTTACGAAAATAAAGTCTACAAAAACTGGAAAGTTAACCCACTGACTTGAAAAACCTGGGTTTGATCAGGAAAGGTTCCGATAGTCTCAGTGAAAGCAGCCATTGCAATCTGTCTTCAGAAAATATAATTAAAAAAAATGTTACAATCATATATCGCATATTACGAAGCGTTTCATCTTTCTAAAAGGCGACTCTGGGCTTTTTATTTATTTGCATAAATGTACAGGAAAAAATATTATAAAGTGTCATATCTGAAGTTAGGGCTTTGGTTGGGACCCGGGTGGAAATGAGTATACAACAGAAATCAAAGGAAATAATAATAATAATAATAATAATAATAATAATAATAATAATAATAATGTGCCTCTTTATTGATATGGCAGTCCCTGCCGACTGCAATGTATCTTTGAAGATATTCAAAAAGTTGTCAAAGTACAAGGACCTTGAAATAGAAATCGCGAAAATGTGGCATATGGGAACATCAACAATCCCTGTTGTAGTTGGAGCCCTAGGACTGGTTGGAAAAGATTCCAGTGGACTAATTGAAGGGATTCCTGGAAGTCCATGCCTCAAGGAGATACAGAAAATTGTTCTGACAAGTACAGCCCACACCTTACGAAGGGCTTTATCTATGTAATCATTTTTTTTTTTTTTTTGTCAGTGGAAAGTGTCATGACGCCATTTCTAACCTTAGGTCCCTGGGCGGGACCCGGAAAGAAATGTGTAAACGCCAGAAATCAAAGAAAATAAAAATAAAAATAATAATAATAATAATTACTTAGTAGTAATTATTATTATCATTATTATTATTATAAAAACTGATAAGCACTAAAATAAACATAATAGTGATGCTAATAACACCACGATTAACCATAAATGAAACCAATTTGTAATCAATCAATCTATCTATCTATCTATCTATCTATCTATCTATCTATCTATCTATCTATCTATCTATCCCAGTCTGTTTTGATCTAGCCATCTATCAATATTAGTCTGTTCATATCTATCTATCTATCTATCTATCTATCTATCTATCTATCTATCTATCTATCTATGTATCTATCTATCACTATCTCATTCTCTTTATCTCTCCCTCTCTCCCTCTCTATCTCAATCTCTCTTTCTCCCCCTCTCTCCCCTCTCTCTCTCTTCTCTCTCTCTCTCTCTCTCTCTCTCTCTCTCTCTCTCTCTATATATATATATATATATATATATATATATATATCAGTCTGTTCATATATATCTATCTATATTTGTCTATTCATATCTATGTATATATACATATATATCTATATCTATCTATCTATCTATCTATCTATATATATATATATATATATATATATATATATATATATTATAGTAATTTATCGTTTATCGTCTAGAAGAATCCTCAACAGAATGCAGAAATCACTGGACGGCCGTTTAGTCCTATTTGGGACTGATCTGAAGTGATATAATTCTAATTCCCTCAAAATTCTATCACTTGTATATCCATGCTTGACCCAGCTAATGCTCTGAGATGAAGTGGCTAAGGGGAAGGAAGACGTTGGATTATGAATACTTGGATGTGTATCACCATCGAATGTGTGAATAGCGTCGCTATATCGCGTCTATTCAGTTTCTTTTAACGAAGCCCGCTGGCCCAGTGGTATAACGCTTGTTTTGTATCGTAACGGCCCCGGTTCGATTCTAGGTCTCGGATGAGCACTCCTGATGAGTACCAAATCGGACAAAACGGCCGTCCAGTGCTCCCTGTTGAAGATTCTTCTAGACTCGATGAATTACTATAATGATTATTCTAATACCCCTAAATTCTATCACACACGCATATATATAGATATTATAGTAAAGAAAGAAAGAACACTAAGATATATAATCCGGTGTTCTTATTGATATTTTTTTTTATTTTTACACAGTGCTCAATGTAAATTTACAGAGCATAAATATTAGAAATTAAATGATTTAAAAATATGATTTCATCGCTACACAGGAATTACCATGTTTCAAAAGAAGAAAACAAAATTTCAAATTCAATTATATTAAATTAAAAGTTTTAGATCTGTTTTGCCTTCAAGCGAATTTTCTAAAATTCACTTAAAGATGAAACAGAACTAATGCTTTTAATTAATTATATAATTGAATGGTTTTTAGTTTCTGTTTTTGAAACATGGTAATTCCTGTGTAGCGATGAAACCATATTTTAAATCAGTTAATATATATATATATATATATATATATATATATATATATATATATATATATATATATATATATTTCTTATCTATCTATATTAGTCTTTTAAATCTCACTCACCTTCTCTCTCTCTCTCTCTATATATATATATATATATATATATATATATATATATATATATATATATATATATATATATATATATATATATTAGTCCGTTTTTCTTGAATAAAGCAGAAAAATTGTCAGATTGTTATGTGTAAATTATCCCAGTGCATATTCCAATAAACGGACAGCAACCTGTTCATTGAATGCCAGTCGACTTTAGGCAAGGGTTCTGCACATTTACAAGCTTTTTCCCCAGCTCCACTCGCGTCGAACGTTATCATAAATGATCCATTTTTCATCTCCCGTGACAAGCAGTTTCCGATATCGAGGAAACTTGCCAACTCAGCCACGAAGGACTTCACAAAAAGCCTCGTTTTACCCTATCTAAGGCAACACGCAAGTTTTATTCATTGTGGATAAAACGGTAGTTTCACCAACGAAGCGGGTCGTTGGTTCTCTCAGTGCCAGAGGCCACATTTCTTTAATTAGATTTCTCGGTATTTTGATTAGTCATTCTAGCTTTTGTAACAACGTTTTCCCCTGGCGAAGGATCGTTAATTAATTTGAAACTTTTGAAACCATTTATTTTACATTCAACATCATCACTTGATAAGACACCGGAGGTGTTGAAACAAAATGGCTATTTTTGTAGTGATTTTATATCGTATTTTTGTTATAATTTTAATAAATAATTATATATATATATATATATATATATATATATATATATATATATATATATATATATATATATATAAGAATAATCACACATAGAATTAATCAGAAGTATCAATGCGATTATTGGCGACATCCATCGCTAGAAAACATAATATATGCATTAAAATCCTGTTCATCCATAGTGCGAGTTTTGATCCTTGAAGAAAAAACTTGTTGTCTGTAGTTTTTCAGTTTATTTGATGTTAAAATGCTAGTACTTACGGACAGTCTTCCATACATCATCAGGCATGTGTTTTTTTTTCCCTATAAAATCAAAAAACTTGAGACGATATACCTGTATGTCGACCGAAAGATGTTTTTTAATATCTGCTATTATTGACGGTTTTAAGATATCGGAACGTGCAAAGACGCAACGCTAAGTTTTTCAAAATTTTTTAAGTGAGAATTTTATTTAAATATTTCTTGTGATGTGTTAAATCCACGTATTCTATTTTTACAAGTGTATTCAGTTTTTATGTCATGAACTACTACTATGACATTACACTATATTATTGAACTATATACTTAGTTCATGACACAAATAAACTGAAAAACTACAGACAACAAGTTTTTCTTCAAGGATCAAAACTCGCACTATGGATGAAATCATATGCTGTCTAATGTTATATATATATATATATATATATATATAGAGAGAGAGAGAGAGAGAGGACAGAATCTAGGTAGAGCTCAATGTACATGACAGAGCAAGAATATAATATAAAGATATAAATATTACGATTCCAATGTAATAAACTATAACCATAGAATATTGTTGTTTGAGCCTTTTATATTATATATATATATATATATATATATATATATATATATATTATTGCCTTTATTTGCTTGTGTTTGGAAACGAACCACAAAATGCTTTTGAGCTTTGTAAACGTTAATCTCGTACAGCAGAGAGTGCAAATATTGTGGGAAGAGAAGTGGTTGCTCAAGTTAAGCCAAAATATAAAAGAGTAGTTATGTCAGCGTTTAGAATCCTGGCTTTTTATTATGTTCCAGTACTGGCTTTACATACCGGCGCGAAATACGAACCAGGCTGACCCGGCAACCAAGTGACAAATTAAGATATTAGTAAATAACAGAAACCTATGTGAGAGTAACATGTATCATTTGTTAAAATAGCGGCATATATTGAATTTTTTTCTCCCAGAATAGAATTTGAAGAATTTTTCTTAAAGAGATAGCAATAATACTGTCATTGTGAGAACTATAGAAGTACAGTTGTAATATCACGAGTTCAAATCGAGGCCAGATTTAAGGAAATGTGTATTTCTATATTATTTGTTTATTATTTAAATATAGTAGACATGTGTTGTATAGTTTGATTAATACCTATGACTGTTACCAAGTGATGATTCCATCCTGTTACTATTTGCTAACACAGAGTCAAAAGTACATAGAATTATGGAACTAGAGCTACACTGTTTCTTGTGTCCCATACAAGAAATACGATATTATGCGAAAAACTATGAGATTTTCGAGTCAGCCACTGTCAACCGTTGTGACTAAATCTCTGTTTAGAACAAGTAATAAACTCAACAATTCAGTGTACTGTTCCAGCAGCTGCATGTGTCATTAGCAAGCCTCGTATCAGATACAGCCTGTTCAAGAAACATATGCAAAACATTATTTGGTTACAAGGAATGTAGCACTTTATAATAAATTTCGATGCATAAAATCTTGACAACGGAGGTAAATGGATGGAATTATAATTATTTTCAACAATATACAGCTGGTAACATTTCCAAAAAAGGTTTTGGCGACGATAACAATATAACGATGTAATTCTTATTAAAATTCAACGGTTACAATAAATTCTTCTATGTGATGTAACCCTTTAAAACGTCAACGATCATGGCTCTTCACAACTTCCTGTCTTTCGTATAAGTATTTTGCTCTATTTTCGCTATCCTTTCTGGTCTCTATTAGGTTATTCGGTACTTTTCTCTGTCCTGCTTGCCTTCATTATATCATTTCAAATTCTACAAAGCCTCCTTCGAAGAAAAAAAAAATCTTTTACCTCTCTCTGATTCTAACTTTCCATTTTATTTCCGATTTCCAAAAACATTCATCACTGGTATTCTTAGCATCCGTCTGTATAGCCACATGTTAGTTACTTAAAGCCCTTTCTTCATCAGTGAGGAGATTGTCCAGCATTCATTATCATGAAGGAAGACCAGTATTAAATACCAGTTCAGCACACTTTTCTTTGTTTGGAACTAAATTTTCCCGTTTCTTTGCTTAGCTTTTGAAAGGCATCTTTCGGTATTTCAATGAACATTCAGATTTTCTGTAATCTGGTGAGTAAACGATTATTTTTAATTTCAAAAGAAAATACCCCCTCTTTTTCGAAAGTGAAAAGGAGGCAAGAAAACATAAATCATAATTGTGAACAAATATTTGTCATATTTGTCCACAATCATGTTACAATGCTGCAACCCGTTTATAGTTTGAATTAATTTCATGTCTGCTACAAATGATCTTGTCTAGGATTCTATTTCATGCTACTTTATGCTATGATGTAAATTTTCAATTTTTTTTTCTTTAGGTTAATATTGAATTTAGTGTAGGTCTGACAGCTGATTGGTTAGTCATGGTAAACCCACAAGCGTCATTTTAATTCTGATTTTTTTTCTCGTCTTCTCTTCTCTTTTGAAAAAAGAAGGCTATTTTGCTTTTGAAATTAAAAATAATCGTTTAATCACCACTTATTTACCAGCCACTTAGTTCCGAAACACGAAAGCTATTGTGTAACGATTTTTAACATGTTTTGTTTTAATCTCCCATAATAAATAATATCAAGCACTACTCTCTATTGAGCCCTTTATTTAAAAAAAAAAAAGAGAATTAAATGCAACAGACAGTGAAATTAGACTCTATCTGTCCTTTCATATATATATATATATATACACACACATATTCAAGCCAAGATCGAAACCCGAGCGATTTCGACACTAGTCGCAGTCTCTCACCCTTAAGCTATTGGCGCAGTTCTCGTGAGACACCAAACTTCTTCGCGCTACTTACGAGCTATTTTTGTTCTAATTTGCCATTCGATTAAACTCTGTTGATCTGATATATATATGTATATATATATATATATATATATATGTGTGTGTGTGTGTGTGTGAGAGAGAGAGAGAGAGAGAAAGAAAGAAAGAGAGAGAGAGAGTAAATTATTTTCACATCGAGTGT